GCTGTGCTGATGGCTCTGAGCTCTTCCCTCTCCCCGTGGCTGTTCTGACGGCTCTGTGCTTCCTCCCAAGGTCCTGGCAGAACGTGTACTGTGTCCTGCACAAAGGCAGCCTAGGCTTCTACAAAGACGCCAAGAACGCCAGCCATGGTGTCCCCTATCATGGCGAGGTGCCCATCAGCCTGCAGGGGGCGCAGTGCAACGTGGCACTGGACTACAAGAAACGCAAGCATGTCTTCAAGCTGGGGTAGGAGCGGCCTCTGTGGCAGACACACAGGGTGGGCAGTGGTGGGATGGTATCCGTATGAGAAGGAGGGGACCTGGTGAAGGGGATAGGATGAAGGGAATAGGGAACAAGACAGGGTTTGGCTTAGCCATGTGGAGGTGACGTAACCTGTGTTTTTTTTCTCTCTGCAGGTTGAGTGACGGCAAAGAGTATTTATTCCAGGCCAAGGATGAGGTGAATCTCTTATGCATGAGGGCACTGCTTGCCCTGTCCACATGGGGGCACCCCTGCACACTGGCCTCTGAGCTCCTCGTGGCCCCTCCTAGTGCTCCTAGGTTTACGTGTGTGCACACATGTAACCCATACACCTCCTGGGTGTGGTGCTGGCACCAAGACCACTTAGAGATTAATGAGTCTGCTACAGCCTTAGCTAATGGCCATGTAGCTTTTAGCTCATGGAGGAGAGGCTCATGTACTAAGCTCCAGAGGTCCCAGGTTGGATCCCGACTAAGGTCTGTCGGTGTTACATGCGCACACCGCCACCCGCTCGGGGATCCAAGTCTGCTATGCTGTAATGTCTCTCTCTCTAGTGGGGGAGGTCTGTAGGGGGCAGAGAGGGCTAACTGCACAGCCTCTCCTCCATGCACCTGGGGCCAGTAGCCAAACACCTGGGTTACAGGTTACAGGATTCTCCCAGTCCTTCTGCCATGCTCACTCATGTTCTGGACCCTCTGCCTTGCCCCATTCCACCCCTAGAGCCCTCCCCCAGATATCCCTCCCCACTCTGCCCTGCCCCCTACCATCCTGAGTTGCATGCTTCCTGTGCTGCACCCTCTCTCAGTCCCTTTGCCTCATCAGTTCTGAATCCTGGGCCTTACCCCAGAGCTCTGCCCAACTCTGTTCCCTCCCAGATCCACCCTGTCTGTGCTCCAAAGTCCCACCCCTCTGCCTTGCCAACCCCTCTTGGTGCCCTGTCTCCTCCCAGAGCCAGTGCCCTGCCCTCTCTGTGCTCCAGTTCCCTGCCCCAACCCACGGCTGACAGCTCCTTCTCTTTCCGCCAGGCTGAGATGAGCACCTGGATGCGAGTGATCAATGCCTCAGTGGCCTGCACCCCGACGCCCCAGCAGGACACGGAGGATCCGCCCTCACTCACTGGCAAGGGCATGACACGGGCCGTGAGCATGCCACCCGTGTCCCCCAACAGCACCACTGAGGTCTCCGTGGCCCTGCGCAGCAAGGACGGCAAGGAGAAGGACCGAGAAAAGAGATTCAGCTTCTTCAAGAAGAAGCAATAGGGTCTGGGGGGCTTGCTACTGGAGGGGCTGCTGGAGGGGCACTGCCCGGCTATTTAATCCATGGAACTGATGGAAGGACACGGGATGGGACAAGGGGCTCTGCACGGGAGGGCAGACTCTGGGCTCCAGATGGATCGGAGCAGGGAGTGGAACTTTGGGTCCTGGATGGGGATGCTGCATTTTAGATTGGTAGCTGTGCTCATGTGACAGTTTCAACCAACCCTCCCACCCTGGGAGCTGCTGGGGAGATCCCTGCTGACTCCCCCATACACTGGGGAATGCTGGAGTTGCTGGAGTGCATCAGCCATGAAGCCAAGCTGGGAAAAAACCTCCCTGTGACCTTCTGCACCAGTGCAGGGGAGGAGCAGCATTAGGGTTACCAGGCTGTGTGGGGAAGAGTATTTAGGTTGCCAGGACCCAGGCATGGTGGGGGAGGGGCATTTGGGCTGATGCACATTTGGGGACATGTTTGACTTGCCTTGTCCCCTCCTGTCTCTCTGATCCATGAACCTTCTCTCCTTGCTTCCCCCCATCTCCTGGAGCTGCCCTAGTATGGGGTGGTACATCTTCCCCCACCCCTTTTCTACAGCTGCTCTACATTAGCAGATCCTGTGGCAGGGTCCATGGTGCATCCGTACCATAGTGAGGCCCCCACTCCGTGCCCCCTGCTTTGCAGACAGCCACACCCTCACAGGGAAGCTGCGGCTGAGCTGGACAGGATGGGGATGGGATCAGGTTCCCAGGGCTGGGGCTCGGTCTTTGGAGTGGGGTTATTTTTGCTTGCAAACAGCAGCAGTACCAGGGATTCCCTGCATGAGGATGCAGACAGCTGTGGCGGGCAGTTCTCTCACCGCCCTTCTCACACTGAGGGCTTTGCTGTCCAAAGGGGGCATGGCATTCCCAGAGGGGCTGAGCTCCCCCAAACAATGGACTTCAGAGCAGGGGGACTCAGTGCTTCTGGCAATCCAGGACCTAAGAGCTGGAGAAATTACAAAGGGGGAGCCCTTATCCTCCTTGAAAGTTGAGGGGGCTGGGCTCCTGGTGTCTCTGGAAATCTCCCTGCTGTGTGGGGCCTTTGAATTGAGACAGAGTGTCTCTCACCAAGCAACCCCGCTCGGCTAGCAGAATCACTGGGTGGGATCCTCTAGCCAGGGTTACCCGGGGGTGGGCAGAGGTCAGGCTGGATGCTCAGAATTGTCTCCTCTGGCCTGTCAAACAGTTGAGCTGAAAATCCATCCCCTGTTCAGTAGGTGGCTGCCCCTTTGACTTTCCCAATGTCCTAACCCCACTGGTCTCCAGTCATCCATAGGATTTCCTGGGGTGAACTGGGGGAAAGATTCCCTCCTCCCCACCAGTGCCCAATCTGGTGTCTTTTTCCACCCACCCCTCCCAAGCCCTGGCTGGTTTCCTTTGCCTTTATCTCCCAGTCTGTGGCCCAGAAATGATTTGTGCCTTCCTGCTATGAGTGGTTGCTCTCTGCCTCCCCTGGTCTTCCCTGTCTAAGGAGAAACCGTATCCCTGCCAGGGTAGGGCACCATGGCTCCCTCGCCCCTATGACTGTGAAATGAGCCAAGTCTCCTCCCTCTTCTGGGGCCCTGGGGACAGGCAGCTTGGAGCTCGAGGGGTGGGCAGGATTGCAGAACTGGATGGTGGCGGGGCCTGCTTCCTGCAGCGGGAGGCCTGGAAACAAGATGTCGCTGCTGCATTTGGACCATGACTTCGCTCCTCGCACCCCCTGGCTGGGACATCCCCTGAGCGCATCCTGGTGATCTTTCTGTGCTTGTGGGAAACATTATTCATGTGTTTGCAGTGGCATCTGTTCCAATTTTTGACAGAAACTCTGAAATAAAGGAGTCTGTGTAGAGACCAAGAGGCTTTGTTTCCCAGCAGGAACGGGGACGAGAGCATGTCTGCTCACACAACTTCCCTGGGGGCTGATGGGCATGGTGGGTGCAGTTAATGCAGGAATATCACACATGCAGCCACCTAGTGTCACAGTGCCAGTGCAACTGGCTCCCAGGATTGTTGCAACACAAATCACTGATGACAATAATGGCAGAGTGGCCTGTTGCTAGCTGGAGCATGCCCAGCTTCCAACCACCGGGTCATATGTGGCCACCACTGGCCATTTACAAATAGGCTTGGCAGGTGGGTGTTGGTTTTTTAATAATTTTGGGGGATAATATCAATGTTTATTTTAAGCATTTTTTTCAGTTTTTATCCATTTAAATATTCACAGTTGTGGGAGATGATGGAGGGTCAGACATGGGGGTTGGTCAATTATTTAGTGGCAATGGAGGCTGGGATTCAAAACGCTTTAGAACACTTCACGCTCCTTGTCAGCAGGGCGTATGGAAGTGGGGCAGTAACTATCCTTCCACCTGCTCCCACAGCATCTTTCCTACTGTGCAGGACGGGGGAGGGGGAAGAGATTTCCAGTATTAGGATGGAATTTTGCGGGGGAGGGGGGCAAACCCACCTTTGCCAATAAGAATCGACCCCTTCCCTGCCTTGACACCTCCCTGCAGCTGGGGGCGACGCACGGGAAGGGAGGGAGGAGGGGTAGCAGAGCCCTGTGTGTGCTACCCCCCCCCCCCCCGCACCGGATCTGTAGAGCAGGGGAGGGGAAGCGGCTAGTTTGAACCCGTCTTTTGGTTCCAGCCCAATGCACTTCTGCACTCCCCACTCCCGCATCCAGAGCCGCAATGGCACAACCTTCTATTGACCCTCCCATGGAGAGGCACAATGGAACAATCCATTTTCACTGCTCTCCCTATAAAGAGCAAATTTATTTCGTGGGCTACAGCTCACTTCATCCATCGGCTGCATTCCTGAGCTGTAGCCCACGAAAGCTGATGCTCAAATAAATGTGTTCGTCTCTAAGGTGCCCCAAGTCCTCCTGTTCTTTTTGTGGATACAGACCAACACGGCTCCTACTCTGAAACCTATAAAGAGCAGCATTGGAATAATCAATGCTCCCCCTCGGATTGGCACAATAGAACAATCCACGATCACGGCTCCCCCATGGAGAGCTGCAATGGACCATTATCACCGCTCCCCCCCCCCCGTGCAGATCCACAATAGGACATTCCATCATAACAGCTTACCCCCGCCCCCCGTGCACAACAGCGCCACATTCCGCCCCTTCCACGCAGACGCACAATAGAACAATGTTATCACTTGTCCCCCCCTTCCCTAAAACAACAATGGTGCAATCCACCTCTCCGGCGGTGTGATTGGCTCTAGAGAAGTGGGGGGACGGGTTCACCCTTGGAACGCTCGATCGCGATTGGTGAATCTCCTCCCTCCCTTCCCCCCCAACCCAGGAGCCCCACTCCCTACCCGTGGGCTCTGCATGGCTCTCCAGTTGATTGACAGCCAGCGCTGCCCAGTAGACGCGCGGGACACTCGGCTGGCCAATGAGGAAGCGGAGGGACGGGTGAGTGGGTGGGACTGGGCCTCGCGCCGCTGCAGCCGACATTTTGTGTGCTTCGCGGGGAGAGGAGGTGCGGTCCCTGGCGAGGTTGGTCTTGGTTTGGGGCCGGCCTGTTGCTGCGCTGGGGCGCTACTGTGTGGGCCCACGAGGGAAGGAGTATGTGGAGGGATCTGTGGGGAGGGCGAGGGCCCAGGCTGTGTCGGTGGGTTGGGGCGGGGTCTGTGGAGCTGAGGGCCGGGATGCGGCTATGGATGGGGTGGGGCTTATCCAGACCCTGCGGCTCTGTGCGTGGGGCGGATGGGGGGCAGGGCCTGCGTAGGGCCAAGGTTGGAGGTGGGGGGGTTATACAGCAAAGGGCACTATGAGGACGTGAGGGTTCTAGGGCAGGCGTCAGCATGAGCGACTGGGCTGTGTTGGGGGGGGAGGTACCGAGGTGGGCTGTGTTTGGGGGCGGGAGGGAGGTACTGAGGTGGGCTGTGTGTGTGTGGCGGCGGGGTGGGGGATTGTGGGATGGGAGAGGTCCCAGTGGGGGCTCTGGATGTGTATGGGGGAGGAACTGGGGATGGGGAATGGATGCCGTCAGGCCTTTGAGCTGCCTGTGTAGGGAGGGTTACAGAAGTGGGAGTTGGAGGGCAGCTGAGGAAAATGAGGGCTATTGATAGTGTGTATAAGGAGGGGTATATGGGAAACGGGAATATATGGGGCACCAATGAAGGCTTTGCTGTACATGGTGGAGTCAGGGCAGGAGAGGCGGTGAGGGCGTTGGCTTTATGTATAGGGGATACAGGGCAAAGGGGGGATATGAGATAGGGGTGGAGGTGGCATGGATGCAGATGATCAGGTAGCTCAGGGTCTGGGGATGTGGAAGGAAGGGGTGAACCTGGGTTAAAGTGTTGATGGCAGAGCAGGTGTTGTACTCAGAATGAATGTAAGATGCTGCAGTCCTGAGACAAGGTTGTTTGCACATGCGCACGCTCTTAATTCATCTGTCCTCGTTGAGCACCTTCAAAATCAGAGTATTGCACCTTCTCCCCAGCAGCTAAATCACCACAGCAGTGCAGGAAGCCCATACCATACTTTCACTCTGTCCAATGTGGATAAAATTGTGAGGTCGTTGAAATAGAGGCATTGTGTCCAAACTATGCTCAGCCCTTTAGTAAATGACAAATGTTTGTTGAAGGTGCAAGGAGAGGATTTAGGCAGCAGAGTGCAATTATCTGAGTTAGGACTTGACCAGGAGACTGCAGTTACCATCTTTGTTTATACAAAATGTAGCATAGGATCTTAGTGAATTATGCTGGTCCCGGCCTTAGTTCTGTCTTTCGTACAAAAGATGCATCTCCAACAGCAAAGCACCTAGAACTCCATTCGAAGCCACTGATACCAAACTTCCTACTTAATTGTCAAGAACAATTTTAATGGGACATAGGGTCGTCTCTCCTGATTGTACTTAGCTTTCATGTAAATAGACTACGTGGATAGGACCCTATCACTGAAGAGTATTAGTAAAGCTTATATAGGAAGGATGGGACACTGGATTGGAACTCTGGATACCTGGGTTCAATTCCCAGATCAGCTATACTCTCTGCATGACCCTGGGCGAGTCATTTAATCTACCCTATGCCTCAGCTCCTGCATCTATAAAATGGGGGCAATACTGTGGTGAAGAGGGCCATATAAGTACAGAGATGTAAAAGAGCATTGCACTTGGATGGGTGCTTCTTCTTAAACCACTTTCTTCTTCCCCCAGGCTCTGCCAAGATGGTGAAACTCTTCATTGGGAATCTACCCCGGGAGGCAACGGAGCAAGAGATCCGGTCGCTCTTTGAGCAGTATGGGAAGGTGCTGGAATGTGACATCATCAAAAACTATGGCTTTGTGCACATCGAAGACAAGACAGCGGCCGAAGATGCCATCCGTAACCTGCATCACCACAAGCTGCATGGTGTCTGCATCAACGTGGAAGCCAGCAAGAACAAGAGCAAGGCATCCACCAAGCTGCATGTGGGCAACATCAGCACCACCTGCACGAACCTGGAGCTGCGGGCCAAGTTTGAAGAGTATGGCCCGGTAATCGAGTGCGACATAGTGAAGGACTATGCCTTTGTGCACATGGAGCGGGCTGAGGATGCGGTGGAGGCCATCAGGGGCCTAGACAACACAGAGTTCCAAGGTGAAACATGAACCAGGGAAAGTGCAGCCTTCGCTAGAACTAGGTAGCGCCAGGTTCTGTCCAGAAGATCAGGTCAGGTGGAAATGTGTTGGTGATGGGGTCATAATTGTGCTGAATGAATAATGGCGTTCAGACTGATCATGTTGTCTGGATGAGTTTTTCAGTGTAGATGAACACAAGAAGTGCAGAGTTCTTGGGGAGGTGTTTAGGAATTGGATAAACCATAGTTTTTGTTCAAGTTAGAAAAGTGCTTTCATTGGATTTGAGAAATACTTTCAGTTAAGTACATGTCTAGCTAATGAACTAGGTAATTCAGTGCTGCTCCTCTGGAGAACTGTTTGTTGTACATTTAATAGTCCTGTGGCTGCAACTATGGTTGGAAAAAGTGTTACAGGAGATTGAAGGGTATTGACATAGCTGTGGGGAGACCAGGACTGGAATAGCAGCGTGCACTGTGGGTCATGATTGAGTTTCATGGGCAGAACTGTGTGTTTGCAGAAGCCCAGGACTTGAATAGCAGGGTTGAGATTGTGGGGCATGACAGAAATGTGGAGGAAGCTTGCATGAGACCAGACATGTCGGTCCCTCATCTTTAGGAGTATTTAAAGCTTTGTGCAGTTTTTAAAAGGTGTTAAACAAGAGATCCAAAACACGTTAAAGGTGACCTGCAAGGAGGGGTGGGGTGGAAATGGGCTTGTCTGCTTTTTTTATGATACATAAAGTTGGTCTGAACAGATTTATTAAATTAAAACTCTGCTTGTTTTTTTTTTACATCAGAAATTTGGGTTTTGTTTATGGTGTGAGTTTAGTTCTCTAATCATGAGACAGAGATGACCTCACAAAAGTGAAGAGTGAAAGCTGAGGTATCAAGAGGAGAAGGGATTTTTAGTTAGACAATAACTTTCTTTCTCTGTGTTAACTCCTAATGAACTTTGGTTACCAATCAACCTTTTGAATAAGGAAGCCTTTATTAATTTCTCCTTTAAATTGTTAGAGCTTTGAGATCTCCCAGTAGTCCTGCAAAACCAAAGAAGATCAGATCCTTGCATTCCTGACCTTTCTAAGGTTAAGACCAGTGTTAGACATTAGACTGGTCCACAAAAAACTGTCTATTTTTTTTTAAACCACCAATTTATTAGAACAGGAACAAACAAGCATAAGATGTTATGGCCTCCAATAGGTTTAGCTTTAGACAGTTAGCCTAATTACAAAAATACAAGTTACTTAACTGAGTTACTTTAACTCAGAAGAATGTGAAAAAACGTGAAATGAAGATTACTCCTGGGGGGATTCTGCGTGACTGGGCCCCCCCCATCCCCGAATACCTGTGCTTCCCTGCAAACAGGGAAGTAAAAGGTGGGGGGGGGAGCAACCATGGGTGCAGTTTTTTGCGGGGGATTGCTCCCCTTGAAACAGAGGTGAGGCATGGGGTGACACATAGGGTTACAAGCCAGTGAGCTTTCCCCTCCTCCCCATTTCTGCAAGCACAGAGTTACCCAGCTGAATGAGGCTGTCTTCCGACTCTGCAGCTGAACACCACCTCCTGGGTCCTAGTGCCAGTCCTGCTCTGCTTCTGTGTGCTAGGAGCCTTCCTGTTTTCTGTGCAACAGTGAGTGCCTGCAATGGGGTGGGTAAGGAGGGTGGGGGAAATGAGGGTGCGGGGAAGAGGCAGTGGGGAAGGAAGGGGAGTGGAATAGGGCAAGGGGAGGGGAATGTGGGAGTGAGATGGATAAGAAAAGAGGATAGGGGAATTGCAGGGGGAGCAGGAGACGGGCATGCAGCATTCCCTTGGCCGTAGCTCGGGCTCCCCCATTAAGCAGGCCCATGGAACCCTCACTCTGACAAGCCCTTCCCCGCTACACCTGGACCCCTCTGATGAGCCCCCCAGACTGCCACCCCACTGATTCCCCAAGCAGCTGCACCGGGACCCCCCACCCCATCAAGCCCCACTCCTCTGGCGTTTGGAGCCCCCCCTGAGCCCCATGTCCCCACACCCAGACCTCCCTGCTGAACCCCATTCACCTTCACCCAGATCTCCTGCAGAGTCCCATTGCCCTTGAACTGGAACCCCCCAACGAACCTCTGTGCACCCAGATTGTCCCACACCTATCCCCCCAAAGCCCCTCCACACTTAGATCCTGCTGGGCTGAGCCTGCCCACCCACCCACATCTGGTGCACCTGGCACAGAGAGGCAGGGCCCCAGGGTGTTTCTGGGGCAGGCCCAGACCTTGCATTGTTTCAGGTCAGGTGCAGCCTCATTGTGGAGTCCCTGTTCCCAGGGGAGGTGGGGGCTTCAGGGTGATCTCCCACCTCAGTGCAGCCAGTGGGTGGCCTGTGCTCCCCACTGCCATGCTGGAGATACATTTATTTATTGATAAATACAATTTGCAGAATTTTAAAATATTGTGCGCTTATTTAATTTTTTGGTGCAGATTTCCCTCAGGAGTAGAAGGTCTAAAAAATGAAAGAATGGACCATAATGGAATCAGAATGGCAATCTTGCTGGAGTATTTGACTGAATAGGGGATCAATTGACATTATTTGACCAGTCAGTTGACTGACTTACCAAGCCTAGTTAAAACCTCCCTGGCTGCCTTAAGTATTTAAAAGAGGCTGAAAGAGAACCAGCTGAATTTTTAAAATGTCATTTGTCTGGTGTCTTGAAGATTGTACCTTCAAACTTAGCTTGAGACACATTGACTTAATCAACTAAAAAGTGGGAGTTCAAGGTAGAGGATGAATTGATATTGACGTGTTCTGTTGGAACTCTGAGCTGTGGAGCATGGGAATTGCCAAAGTGGATCAGAGATGTGGTCTTTCTGGTCCGGTATTCTGTCTCTGACAGCAGCCAATACCAACTGCTTCAGCGTAAGGTTCAGGGGACCCTGTAATAGCATTGATGGGATAACTAGACCCCAGCAGAGATTAGCTCTTGCCCTGAAGCAGGAGAATTTAAATCTCTTCCAAAACTTACATCTGTTTATATTACTATTCTTGTTCTGGCTATCCTTATCCATGTAAATGGTCAATACTCTTTGAATCCGGCTTAGTTTTTGATCTTGGTGATACCTTGAGGCAGTGAGTTCCACGTGTGAATTGTGCTCAGTGTGGAAATAGTGTTTCCTTTTACCTGTTTTCCTGTTTTAATGTTGCTCCTATCAGTGTTGTGGAATATCCCCATGTTTTTGTATGATGAAAGGGTAAATAGTAGCGCCCAGTCTACTGCCTCTATTCCATTAGTTTTTTTATGTATTCCTATCACATTCTCATATTTGTCTCTAAGATAAACGGCCCTATTCATTTAATCTCTTCATATGAGAGTTTTTTCAGACTCAATTCTCATCACCTGTCTTTTGCCCTCATCTGTTTCTGATACATACTTTACGGAGCTGGGGCAACCAAAATAGAACACAGTACTCTAGGTGGAGATGTCCCATTGATTTATAGAAAGGTATTATATCTTCAGGATTCTCCATCCCATCCCTTATGGTACTTTGGAACTTTGCTGCTGCACATTGCACAGAGGTTTCCATTGACCTGCCCAGAGTGGTGCCCAGACCTCTTACAGAGTTGATCCCGATAATTTAGGAATTCAGTAGGTGTTCAGATTAATGCACATAGCAGGGAATACTTTCCATTTATCAACATTGAGCAGTGGCAACAAAGCAGACATGCAGTTTTTGTTGTTTCCAATGTTTTGGTTGCACAAGCTGTCTTCTGCTCTAGCAGTACAAAAGCCATCTGTTAGTGCAATATGGAAAGCAAGTGGATTTGTAGACTGTAGTGTTACACCTGTGCACAGATCTTTGGGTCCTACAATGGATAAGCCCTATCTAGTCTTGGGAGTTAGGCTGTGAAGCTCTACCTCAGAGAGGGCAGCTAAGGGGCGTGTCTGGTATCACCATTGAAAGTGATGCTGCATCTCTCAACACCTCATCCCAAAAGTTAACCTGGTAGGGGTTTGTAGAAATAATCTCTAGTAAAAAAAAAAAACAGCTGCTCTTCTGTTTAGAACAGAATATTTGTCTTCTCTTAGAAGTAGCAGCTAGGTGTATCTTTAGGCAACTCTGTAAAAGAAAGGATGTGTGCCTGGAGGCCTGACTGTCTTGGGTCTATAACGCAGCATTGCATACACCCATACGGCCTACATAGAAATTAATCGGCTCTTAGGGAGTTAGCCATTTGAAGTTTGTGGCAGTGCTGATATTCATGCATGAAAGCTTGTTTCATGTTTCTACTAATAAACTTCCCTGCACTGTATGTAGGCTAAGACATTTGGTTTCCATTTTCTAGCGACAAGCAGAAATAGAACTCTCTCACTGATGATATTCAACAAAGGGTGTTGAGAGAGAGAGAGGCAGATTAATACTAGGGTATTTTGCACCTTGCCACTAATTCTTCTGTCCCAGGCTCAGTGACCAAAAGCTGTTAACACCCCAAGCTAGGCCTGGCAGAATATTATTTTTATTTTTATAAAATGTTGGTGGATAATATTATTTTTAAACATTTTTTTTAGATTTTTGTTGATTTAAATGTTCACAGTTGTGTGAAATTAAGGGAGGGAGGGTCAGACAATAGTTATTTAATGACAGTAGACATTGAGATTCAAAACATTAAAGATTTATAACAGTTAAAATACAAATTGTCAACGTCACATATCAAATTATACAAAGTAAATATCCTTCAATCAAACTCTTTAAGTTCTCAAGCAGCATTTTTCTTATGTTGCCTATTTGTAAATTTTAATAATAATAATTTTAATCGATGGAAATATTTTTTCCATTGGTTAGTGTATGTACAGTAGGTGTTCTCAAACTGGGGGTTGGGACCCCTCACGGAGTCACAAGGTTATTACATGGGGGGTCGCGAGCTGCTAGCCTCCACCCCAAACCCCACTTTGCCTCCAGCATTTATAATGGTGTTAAATATATAAAAAAGTGTTTTTTTAATTTATAAGGGGGCTTGCTATGTGAAAGGGGTGACCAGTACAAAAGTTTGAGAACCACTGGTGTACAGTGAAATAGATGTTTTCTGATTACAAATCAAATTCTTCCAAACCTACTCATTGCACTTCCATAATTCCCATGAAATAAGCTGGTGGGTCCCAGCCCAGTTCCTGTTGAACAACTGTGCACCTCTCATAAACACTGCATTCAGGTGCTTTATTGAAAAGTCCAAAGATTGAACTGGCCATAGAGGATGAACCCGCTTCTCTTCAAAGTGGCCTTCCAGGTCAGGATTGAGACATGTTGGCTGGGTGAGGGTGCTGGCACATTGTGTGGGCACTGGTAGTGCCAAACCTGTTTTATAGATAAGTGACTTCAGTTTTCAGAGCTGCCAATATCGTATACTACACCATAGTGTGTGTGTGGGAAATCTAGAATATATAAAAGATGAAGTTACTTGTGGTTTTTTCTGAGAGCAACTTTATTACTTACTTCTGAAAACACAAGCACCACTAGGGGTAACATTTTCAAAAATGCCCAAGTCACTTAACCTCTTAAGACCTATTTTCAAAAGTGACACGGGTAGCTTGCTATAGTCAAGTATCGTATAAATAGTTTTTCCAGCCCTGAGCCTACAGCACTTTCCTACCTGTTTAGTATCAGTCTCAAACACTTGAAGCACAGTAGAGGGCGAATGCCATGGTGTCCTTCTCTGTCAGGTAAGTCCCATAGTGGTAAGTTGCTTTGCTACGGTAAATAGTGGCTATATCTCTGTAATTTAAGGTAAGTCAGGTTGGCAAGAGGTCACCCATCAACTTGTGCAGTTAAACTGGGACTGTTTTATGGACTTTCTGGCTAAAGGATTACTGGATTCTCTTGTGATTTATGTTCTGTAACATCTAAATGAAATGGTATCTTGATGTAGAATATAATCTGGGCTCTGACTCTCTGAATGCTGCTGAGGGCCGGATTCTATGTCAGAGATAGACGTCGCATGTTATGGTTACAATGCTTTTTTCTCTTCCAGCTTTATGTGCAGAAGCTCCTCCAGTGTCACCCGGTTGGAGAGATCTTCTCACCTCTGCTTTTGTACATTGCAAAGCACAAGAATGGTGATCAATAAATAGCTTTAATTCACTGAAAGTAGCAAGTAACTCAGTAATTCAAACAATGAAATATTTTTCAGTTTAGCCGGCAAAAGTGCTATGCTTAAATCTGTACTTAATACCAAAGCCACAAGGATTCCTACATTATGCTCCTTGAAGTATTGGCTGTTTCACACCAAGAACTCCTTTGTAGTGTCTATATTCAGTCTCTTGTCCTACAGTCAAAACTTTGAGTGACAAGTAGACAGTTTCTGGTCTGAAATGCTCCTTTGCTTTGGGCTAACTGGCAAATCCACTTTCTTTGTAGTACATCATCTACATCTAGCATGCAACTACAGCATTCTTGCTGTTCTAAGGTGCATGGTATAAGAATCTAAATAGAATAGATTGCGTCCTCTGCAAGGAGAAGCTCACTTGCTGTATGCAATCACCTGAGACATCTTGGCAAAGAAAACTGCCAAAGAAAAATCTAGCACTGAGTTCTGCAGGACTCACTGATACTGAAAACCGTTCTAGGTTAGGTTCACAGACTAAACATGCAGCCAAAGTGCTTGCAGTGTGAGAAATTTCGTGTGTGTGTAGCTTTTTCATTTGAGGTGGAAGAGCAAATTGCTCTTACAAAACTGTTAATGATCCAGAGGCTTATAGCTAACTTTAATGGCAAGATTGCCTGACAGTTTGGTTAGTGCTTTCAAACTTGACGGTCTAAACTTACATATCAAGATTGCTATAAAGGCATCTAAATAAGTGGCCTGACATTCAGAGCAGCTCCTACTGACTTCAGTGTCAGAGGAAAATGTTTTTCCACAAACCTGACCATAAGCAATGGAAACCCACAAGCACATGCAATAGTCGTACAATGCTTTGTCCACAGAGCCCATGACGTCTATATACATCCTGCTACTTTTTCCCATCAGGTGCTGCAGGCTTTGTGTTTTAAAAAGGGGGTTAAAGATCTCTTTGGACATTGCTAGGAGCCATCCCAATGTAACCAGTGCCCTTTCTGCCAGTTAACATCTCCTGGTCTACCTTGTGGCCTGGATGGTCGGCATGTGGCTCCTTTTTGTTTAGCTTCTCTGCAAATCGCCTGCCATAAGATTGCTGTGGTGTGAGCTTATTGTACGTCTCTGCTAATGCCCAGCCTTCACCAGGCCTGGAAGCAGAAGCCAGAGATTGTAGGCCATTTTGAATTGTACATAGGCTAACAATGTATGTAACTTTCTTGAACTTGAACCCTCTTGCTAAGTATGGTAGTTCATGTTGTAGTGTTCCTGGTCTGCTCTGACAATCATTATATGGATACCTTCTGAAAAGTCATCTTGGGATTTGTCAGGATGTTTCCTTCCAGAGTTCCATCAATAACCATTCCAAGTCAGATACAATCACTGGAGATCTTGGGAGTTCTGTCTGTTCTTGGGGCTCTGTACCACTTCACGTGGGTAAATCTTAGTAGACAGTGAGGAGCCAGTATCCCGTAAAAGCTGACGGGTAAAGTTGTTGGTTTGACTCATGGGCAGAATGTTCAATAGTTGTAGCTATCTGGTTAGATGTACTGAGGGGGTGAATCGATCAGCTTGTCTTGATACATTTTTAGATCAAGATTTAATATGCTTTGTTTTGTTACAAATCTTGTGGTTTTCCATGTGGCATCAGTTTATTATAGCAACCATTCTTGCGTCTGTTTCTTAAAGGCAAGCGGATGCACGTGCAGTTGTCCACCAGTCGGCTCAGGACCGCGCCCGGGATGGGAGACAAGAGTGGCTGCTATCGGTGCGGGAAAGAAGGGCACTGGTCTAAAGAGTGTCCGGTAGATCGCACGGGGCAAGTGCCTGACTTTACCGAAACCTATAATGAGCAGTACGGAGCGGTGCGCACTCCCTACCCCGCGGGCTATGGGGAGACCATGTATTACGATGATGGGTATGGAGCAATGGTCGACTACTACAAAAGATACCGCGTGAGGCCCTATGCTACGGCATCTGCATACGACGCCTATGCAGAGCAAACAATGGCCCAGTATTCGCAGTACGCGCAATACTCCCAAGTACAAACCACAGCCATGGCCGCCACCACAGCCATGGCCGCCACCACAGCCATGGCCAATCGCCTCACTACTACCCTAGACCCTTACGATAGAGCGCTGCTGCCAACCCCAGGAGCAGCCGCAGCGGCAGTAGCTGCAGCTGCAACTGCTGCTGCAGCAGCCGCATCCTCCACCTATTACACCCGGGATAGAAGCCCCCTGCGTCGCACGGCAACCGCGGCCACCACCGTCGGAGAGGCGTACGGTTATGAACGTTGTCAGCTGTCTCCAGTCTCGTCGGTCGCTCGGGCCTCCCTCTACGATGTTCAGCGGTTCGGGCGGGAGTCGTATGCGGACAGGGCGCGGTACTCTGCGTTTTGAGTCGGAGGTGAGAGCACTTTCCGGTCTAGTTCATAGGTTTTTGTCCGGATACTTTGAGGACCTGGGGATCCTCTTCCTAGGTTCTAAGTACTTAACATATATGGTGCTACAGGGGCACATTTGACCCTGTATCACTGGATGGTAGCAAAAAGTGCCTTATACCTATTAAACTCTGAATTTCACTTGTCAGGCATTTGGCAAAGCTTTGACCCTTGTTAGGACTTTACATTAATAATACATCAGGCCTTTCACCTGGAAGTAGACACTTTCCAAAGCCAGGATCTAAAAATGAAATGTAAACTGAGTCAAATCTAGACATACTGCATGTTTTTCAGAGGTATCTGTCACCAGAGTATCTAGTGCATTGTGCATATAACTGAAACAGGTGTACATGTAGGGCTTGGAACATTTCCCCCAAATAGAGCATGTTTTATATTACCAATGCTGCTACTGTACAGCTACATTAATAAGGCCAGAAATGGAATTATGGGGATACAGCCAGGGGATTAATTGTCAAGGGGATTCAAATTCCTGCAGTTAAAGGCTAGAGCATGATTACAGTTGTCACTGTACTCTAAGAATAGCCAATTTCAGCCTTATGATAGGGTTTTTGAGAGCTCTTTCCCCCCCTTTGCGGTGGTGATCCTTCAAACTCATGCACTGGGACATGATGTTGTGGGGAGCTATTTAGGACCCAGAATATCTAGGGCATTGTAAATTGCAGTAAGCACGAATTTCCAGGTGAAACGACTTACAACTATTGTGTGGAGCATGGGTGTAGTTTCCTCTGATCAATCTCTTCTGCAGTAGATGAAACTTCCCAATGGCCTTGTGAGAGCCCCCACAGAGAGGGAGCTGTAGTAGTCTAATTTAGGAAGTGGGAGGGCACATGTGCTGAATGAGTCAAAGATGAAAGAAGTTACTGGCACATGTCTGCTCCTCTTGGGACTTCAGGAGCAGAGATGAGTCAGGGAGTTAAGGCCTTGAGGGCAGGGACAGTGTCTTACTTGTCTGAACTATCACAAATACTGTTCACAAAATAATATTTGGAGCTTGTAAGTTGCCTGAGAGTCAGGAGAGTGTCTTACATTGAAGACAATGGTCACTGTCTCGTTCATTCCTGCCAGTGAGCATCCTGTTTACCATAATGCCTGCTCCCAAGGAACAGGAGCATTCACCCACAACTGCTTTAACTTGCCTCAGTTTAAACAGTTGGAAGCTTGTGGCATGGCCTCCAGTGATACTAGGTGACCTAGGAGGGGCCAGAGGATTTGACAGGTGATGGAGGATTAGAATTCTCATCTTAAATCTGAGCCCCCTCTTACACACCTGGTGTAGCTGGTGTGTCCAGTTCTGCTCCCAGTCTGTTGTCATGGGAGGGACTTCACTTTACAGGGTTGGATTCTTCACTCAGCTCACCTTGCATAAAGGTTCTTGCCTTGTCATTGCACCACGCCTAGTGGGAAGGACCTGGGAATCTGCCAGGGCTCCTGTTGCATGTGGCCAGGGTTCAAATGTAAAAGTAATGAGAGAGATCAGAAGTTTGACTCAAATAACAGCATTGTACACTGAGCTGAGCTTAGCACAGGTAGTAGCATATTGTTCTTCAATGACTTCTTTGACTACAGCAGAAGAGGCCCAGGTAGTGCATTTCCAGGGGTTGCTTTTGTTGCAGTGCATTGGGGAGTTATCTACTGATTCCCCCACTGAGTACGCCATTCTGCATCCTCTCTCAAAAGTGCATTAGCTGTCAGGTTCATGTAGGGTTGCAATGAATCTTGTAATAGGTTTCAATTTCAGTGCAAGAAGACACCAAGCTGAATACAAGACACCATGTCTGTTGGGATTTAGGCTTCTAAATCACTTAGGCACTTTGGAACATTTTACCCTTAATCCCTAAAGTCAGCTGCTGAGAGTCTGTGTTCAGGAAGCAGTTTCTGCAAGTAAGCAGGGTCCTCAGGCACTTTAAACTTAAAAGAAACCTTGTGTAAAGTAAATGGGGTTTTTAAACCTAAATTTCTTGGCCATTGTCTAAAGGCCAAAAGGCAAAATTTTCAAAAGTGCCTAACCCCTGTTGACTTGGGTTCCTATGTCATTTTGGTGTTTTTGAAGACTTCACCCAAAATCTTCTGCAGACTGAGTTATCCGAGTTCTTAATTCTTTCTCTTCTTGTTTAATTCAAGCTGTCTTTGAATTGTGAGCAAGAACATCCTCAACCCTGGGAGCTATTTTTAGTCCATGTTCTGGAAACTTAGATCCATGGCAAGAAGATGAGCTTCTAAATGGGCTGGAGGTCTTGATGCTCCTGCATTTCAGAGAAGATATTTGAACAGGGTTTTGTTAATGCCATAACTTGAATGCTACACTTAACTGTATTAAACTACAGTGATTCTTTAATTGGCCCAGTCATACCAATAGCTACAGCACAGCAGATGCCTTCTCTAAAACTTTCTGTTTAGGCACATTCTAAGAAGCAGAACTACTCTCTGTCCTTGGAAAAATCTTCCCTGCAACCTAGAAGTAGGTCTGGTGGAGCGGGCCTATTGTAAAGGACCAGGTCAGTGTACTGATGGAAGCCCTCTGTGCTCCTCTTGTCACCCCAGTAGTGGGGGTGAGCACAGGGATTTTAATCAGGATGTCCATCCTGGGCCCCATGTGAACATTTGGTCTTCGGTATCAGGCTCTGGCTATTAGAGGTCCAGTTGGCTTGGAGTGCCATTGCCCTCTAACTACTGGAAAAAGGAGCTTTCTCTTCTTCCCACACCAGCTGGCTGTTGGTAGGGAAGGGCCAGGATGAGGATTCTGCTGCTCCAGCCCCTGCTGGTGGTGTTTGCTTTGCCAAGCAGCTATAAAGTGAAACTGACTTGGTTGTTGGCTTCCTAGCTCTGCGTAAGGAGTTCTAAACAGCAGCAATGAACAGAATTGGTTTAGTTAATTTTGTTTTGCTGCTTGGCAAAATGATGAGCATCAGCAGAAGCACTAGATCTGCCTGCGGACTCAGAGATGTGCTGTACTGGTCAGGTTAGGAAGGCTGTCTAAAGACTAGAAACTTAATCTTTTAACTGAAAGAACTTGAAATGGACTCCAGTGTGGGAGGGCTGCCTGCACATGCTGTGGAGTAACTTTTTTCAAAACTCAGTCGTTGATCATTAAGGACCCTTCCCGTACAAATATAACCTTAGTTTTTTTTCAGTGTTTGGAGCTCAGTTTACATACAGTTGCCTCTAACAGGAAATAAATGGAGTATAATTACACATGAAGTAGTTTTCTCTATAAATGCAATGAATTCTATAAACGAGCAGCTCTTCGTGGTAAAACAAAAGCCTGGACTTGTTTGACCAAACCACAGCCAAGACCAAGGAGTAAACATGAAGCTCAATTTTATGTCTTTGGTTTTGGACCCAATTAACACAGAGCTTGGAAACAGGAACCTCATTAATACCATAACCATTAAGGATTTCTCATGTTGATTTTTGTGGCTTTCAGGAACAAATAGGTTGACTTCTTCTCTAGGAAATGCGCCTCTTCTTTGTACAGGAGACTCAAGGTGGCCTGAGTGTATTTGAGGGCAGAAATCTGTCTTCAGGCCTTTGAATGAATTGTGCTTTTTATCTTTCAGGTAGGATATGTGCGGCTGGACGTCAGGTTCCTGTTGCACGTGAAATCTATATCGTACGTGTCAAACTGTGCTGGGCTTCAAAGCATACTGATCGCAGCTAATGCATTTACTCATAATGGACATTTGTCTCTCGTCAAAGTGTAGTGAAAAGTAACTTAACTTCCTTTTCTTTTTTTATTTTTCAGAAAATGCTTTGAATAATTTTTTGGCCTTTTATTTTCCAATGACCCTAGAGCCATTATTCTCTGCTGCTCTTTGGGACGTTAGTACCCTTTACCCAATCTAAGCCCAGCTTTTGAGCTAGAGTAGTTGCAATGCCAGTTAACTCTTTTTTGGAGACGTGCTTGGGATTACTGTCTTCCTCTTGCAGTTCAGTTTGTAGCTTGCCTATTTAATAGTATGTTTGTTTTTAAAGGTGAATAACCAGTCTTAGTTAAGTATGAAATATTATATCTTAACGTAGTATTGCAAAGCCTGCTCCCCTTAGTTCTAGCCTGCACTCTGGAGTCATCTCTTCTGCCCCAACATTATTTTTGGAATATAACCTGTAACTCTCCTTCTCTCTGAAGTTTAGCATCGTTTGACCACCTCTCTTTTTCCAGCAAAATAAACACTTATAACAGATGAGAGTATACTTGTGTCTTGTGTAAATCAGAACCATGCATGGTGCACTGGTCTAAGCTTGTGGGAGTGATTTTATGGAACGAAACAGTTCAAGACAGAGTACTTAAGCCACTATTTATAGTAGTGCCTGGAACTTCAAAGGAGAGTGGGGGTCCCATTGTGGTAGGCACTGTAAATACATATAGCTATCACAAAGATTACAATCTAAATAGACAAGACAAGGGGCAGGAGCAGGGACTCAGTAACACTAGGAAAAAATTGTAGCTCAATTGGCAATTGAACTCAGGTCCCCAGAGTCCTCAGCCATTGCATTATGCACTAGTCCTTTCTAGTTCACCTCTGAGCATTGTCTAGGTCTAAGCTATACCCTTTGAGAGGCAACAGTAGGCAGGAATTTCTCAGTGGTCAGCTGTTGCAGGACTTAACAGCCTTATTCATGCTACTTTGATGTGGAACTCCCTCTTCAGGGTATATAGGGTCCATGCTGCATGGGGAGAGAGCCACAGGCCGATGTCACTGCTTCTCAGTAGTTTCCTCTTGTGAAGAAGTTGCAGCTTGAAAAAGATATAAGGAGGTAAGTAGATCTCTGCAGCAGCAACCCTGCTGCGGTCAGCCCAGCTCTTGTCAAATCCCTCTGAAGAGAGCTGCTATATGTCTCTCTTGATAAACTTGAAGGGCATGAGCCAAGTTCAGAGTTGGAGGTGCCTGAACAAATCTATTTCCATCTAGTTTAGTCTACTCTGACTGTCTTACTACCACCATTCTCTAATCAGATCTGTAGTCCGCAAGGAAAGCGGGGTGAGGTGGCTAGTGGCAGTTTATGATTTAGTTGCAAAAGAGGAAAAGTTCCTGAGCTGAGTGAGATCCTGCACAAAAAGTGTGGATACAAGAAATGCTTCTGACGTGCATTCCCAGATGGGTACATGGAGGTACACTCACAGCAGTTGCCTTCTCAGTCAGGTACCTTGCCTGTTAACTTCAGCAGTCTCAAGGTGACATACAAAGGCCTTATCTGCTCAGTGAAGAAACAGCAGTTGAGCTGGTGTAGGCTTAGAACGAGGAGGTTTTTTTTTTCCATGGCATTGATATTCCCAACCACTGCTCCCCTTGTACTTTGTTAGCTTTTTGAACCTATCCAAAGCTGTCTCATAGCCATCCTGCTATTAAGTCTTGCTTCCTTGTGGCCTGCTTAGTAGGCCATTGTAGTTGGTTCTCTTCCTGGGGGTGGGGTTTCCTGCTGCTGCCGCCCCTGTCTCAAGATCCCTGATGTCCTCAAATCTAGCTACCTAATCTAGTCTAGTGAATAAATGAGTAGGAAAACAGAAATAGTGTAAGAAGCCTCAACAGGTCCCATCTGATCAGCTGAGGCCATTTTCTACACTCCTCCACTCTCTTGTGTTTTAAATACCCTCTCTCACACACCACCTTTCTGCATTGTCCTATGCTGCCTTTTTCCTGTGGGGAAAAGCTCCCTATCCAAATCTGGAAAGCCATCATCCCCTTATCCTCCAACTAACACATCCTGAAAACTTCCTTCTTATGCAGCTGGTGATCACTGCCTTTCTGGCTACATTAGGGCAACAAAAATAAGGTGTGGATCCTCAAATACTGTTGATGTGTGAACCTAAGCTCTTTGGGCATTTTCTATAAACATTCAACACCTATGTCATCTTTCACATCCCTTCCTTAAAACTCTCCTCTACCATGCAATCTACAAAAAGCTCAACATTCAGCACATGTGATGCTGTGACTGCTGCTTATCATGCCACCTTCTGTTTGCCATGTCTCTTTGTAGGTCCTTTGCTGCAGGGTCTCTCTTTACGCTGTGTGTTTATACAGTGCTTACTATGCTGCGGTCTCTAGGCTTCTACAATATGCAATTGTTTGCCCAGTGCCTAGCATGGTGAGACTGAGCTGGTTAGCCTCTAGCTGCTCTTGCAATGTGTTTTATTATTAATAATGCTGCTTGCTTTCAAGAAAGACTCCACCCTTACAGAAAACACACACCTTGGGGTACAAGGTTGCTCAGTAGACAATAGCCCTTCTCCTCCGTGTGAAACATCATTTTTTCCAATTGAATTTGTTCGTGATGGCTACATGGGCATCTTGAGATTGAAGTCTTACTGTGTCCCTACAAATACACTGTAGGCAGCAGCAATATGAGTTACAGATGTTGGTTACTGTCAAATAGCTGGAGTGTGGGGGGGGGGGCCCCTCATTACTGCATTCAGAGTACTCTAAATACTAGTCAGCCTTTGGGCTAAGAGACTGACAAGTGAGTGACAATTGTGTTGGTTTTGTTCATGCAGGCACCTGCTCAGTCATGAAAGTTCAAACTGGAGGTGGCTACTCTGATCACCTCATTTGGCCGGCATTTCACAATCCAGAGAACCCCACCCAGTGATTTCTACATCAAGCCCAATTGCTTAGGGTTGAGCTAAAGCATAGCTTTTAAAAAGATATGTCCAATTTCTATTTGCAGATTTAAATGATGGGGGACTGAATTCCACCACAGTTCACTTCTTGCAAGCCACCAGATGATGTAGAACTAGCTTATGTAACTCATTGCCACATGACATCATTGAGGCCATAAGCTCTGCAGGATATCAGACACTTGCATAGTTAACGAGAATAATCAGAGTTAGAAGAGACATTAAAAATAAGCAGGTGTTTGGAAGTACTGAGGGCACAAGCCAACTTCTAACTACAGGGAGAGGCAGTTATCCCATCACTGCCTACTGCAGATTTCCTTTCCCTGAACTATCTGGTGTTGGCTGCTCTTGGAGACAAGAAACTGGCGTAAATGAACCCTAAGTGTGATCCATTCTTCCTCTTCCTGTTTTGGCAGAAGCTTGTACCCAAAGCAGATACGCCCACTGAAAATCTGCATGGCTGACAAAGGAGCAGACTTGATGTAACCTCATTTCTAACCCTTTGCAGGCAAGAGAGGGCAGTTTGTGGTTTCTTGTGCATAGTCTGGTTGTTTTGAGCCAAAAGAAGAGCTGTTTTTATCTCAAGTGTTGATGCCCTCTCATGATTGCTAGGCTGGGTGGTGGTGGATTAAGATTCACTTTCTCAGCAGATGGAGCTAAAATCTTTATTAAGGCAAAACACTCAGCAGGTAGTGATCAGTTACAAGTGGGAAGATCATCAGGTTGATCTCATCACAGTCGCCTTCAGCAGTGGACAATACAGTTTCAACTTCCCTCTATTACACAAACATAAATAAGTTTTTATTTTTTCTTATACATCTGTGTTAGGCTCTCATTTCCATGTTAACTCCCTTCCCCTGTCAGTACAAGTTTAGTTTCGTTCAAACTGATCTTTTCGGTTACTTTATCTTTTCTTGTTCTTACAAACACTTTTTATTCTGCAATTTCTTACACATGTGCAACACTAAACACGATTATTTTACAATTTCTTACACATACATAGTTCTACTTATTCTGTTAAATGTTATCAGAACAGACATTTAAAATCCACAGCAGGCTTCTCTCAGTCCTAAATATGCCTTCACTCCCACCAGGCAGCTGTCTCGCAAAAGATGCACCATCTCCCCTTGCTTGGATCTCCTTTTCTTAATGTGTTTAAATGCTGGGAGGCAAATTTTAAGGTGTTTGATAGTGACTGGCAGGCAGGTTTTTTTTCTAAAGCACTCAGCTCCCATTTAGACACAAAAAATAAGCAGCCAGACTTGCTGTGAAAATCCGCCTTTCTCAATTGATACAACACAGGGGCATTGTTCCTACCATCCACTCTTTGGAGAAAGAGGGGGGCTTGTGTGGTCTCTGACACCAGTAGCAGTGGTGTGCAGAATGCTGCTGCTGTGATGTGCTAGGACTTTGCGCTGGTGTAATTGACTGAAGTGCAGGGTCCCAGGTCTACATGCTCTCCTTTCCCCCAAAGGCTCGGGCTTTAATCACTCCAACATTATAGGCAGCCATTCAGACCGTGGCCCTTACAGTCCTCATTGCTTCCTGTGCAGCTGGTGGGGCTTTTAGTTAACTTCTCCTTGGGCTGAACCACCACAGTGGTGGGAGGTTTAGAGAGTATGGAGGGGCCACTGAGTGGACTTGTATGGTGGAGGGAAACTCAATCCTGAGGAGTATTAAGGTTAAACTAGGTATTCATCCCCTCCAAGGAATACCAGTGATAACAGAGGAACGGTTGACCTCTCATCTTCCCACTAGCGGTTTGCTGGATGAAAAGTTCTCTCTCAGGAACCCACCATTTCCCTCCTTTTTCAGAAGCACTCAGGTTTTCAATCCAAGGCCTGCTTTGGGAATTGGATTATAACCCTAATGCTCTTGTTATTGGCATGGGAAATCAGAGTTCACTGGGAAGTTGCAATTTCACCTGGTTATGGAGACCTCTCTGTGCTAAATGAGCCATACAGGTGCATTGAGGAGGGGGGAATCCGAGCTAATGGTGCAGGGGGGATTCTGTGCTGAATGGGGAAAGGTAGCTGTGTCCCAGGTTTGGAGCTGTGAAGAGCAGACTAGGCCCATGTATGCCAAGCTCCCTCTGCCTCTAAAAGTGTGCAGGCAGGCTGGAGTATTTGGCTCTGGTGGAACAGAAATATTCAGGTGGGCAGTTACATCAGTGCTTTCTGAGGGGCATGGATTAGTGTTCACATTGTACTTCCTGTCAGTACCCGGCCCAGTTAATGATCCAACCAGCAGATCAAATTTGGTGATGAATCCTGGTCACATGCCACCTGAGGCATGTTGTGCATACACTAAGATTTGCTCTCTCAGCCTGGGTCTGTCTCTGTTGTTGTGTGCCACCAAGCCCCGGGTAGGGGTAGGAATAGGAATGGAATCTGTATATGCTGTCCTAATATCCCAGTCTCCCCCTGCACCTCAGTCACTTTGAGAGTCTGGACAGTTACCTTTGCCAAAAGCAGTCCCATTGCCCCATCCACCTACTATACTCTTCACACTTCTCGGGGAGAGGGGGTTTTGCTTCTGTGCCACTCCTCACCCACCAGAGTGGAGCCA